CAGGTGGCAAAGCGTGTGGCTGTGCTGCCTCCTGGTCTCCCAGTGACAAACCCAACGGACACCTTATAAAACAGACAACGGAAAGAGGGCACTGGCCAGGACCAAAGTGCAGTTAAAGAAACAAACAGTCCCAGTGCTGACAGAGAAGCCAAAATGGACATCAGCAGTTACAGAAGAAATAGCCAGGCATGCAAACTAGAGACCCAGAATGTGCAGCCAGAGGAATCTGGAGGCAAGTTTATCCCAGAACCAAGGGAAGGGGCTGAGACAAAGGATGCAGATGGAGAGGAAGGGACGAGGGCAAAGCCCTCAGGCAAAAGCAACTCCCCGAGATGCCTCAGGACATGGCAATTCCAAAGGATCAAAAGCTGGAAGCTGAGGCAGATTCAGAAAGGAGCAGGGCAAGCTGCTAAGACAATGAGAAGACACTTATTCCACAGTGCAAGCATTACATCAAGAAGGCAAGAGCTGTTCAAACCACTCCTGATGAGAGTTTTGTGGAGAAATAAGACAATTCCCATTATTTCTCATGTTTTGAATTGCAGTGCACTAAGTACTATGTTACTATTTTTCATTTGCCTGTACCTTTATAACACAGTAAGAGTTGTGGCAAGTTTTGACCAAAGCTTACAGAGGTCATGGAAGAACCCTAACTTCCCTCACTGACTAAATTTCCTTTTGCAGGGTTTTAGCTTGCCCATTTTCACTGTCTGTATTACTATGCAAAGTGAGGAGTGTTTATATAAATGAAATATTGCCAGATCATTTAAAAATAATGCAGTTGTTTATCTGCAGATTCTGAATAAATACTTATAAATATTTTACAATAATAAATACTAACTTTCAAAACTCTTACCAATAACTTGTGAACCCTGGCTTTAGACTGTTCGGGAACATAGAGACAAACACACAAAGGCATCATAGAGACGTAGGTTGGAACAATCTATGACCCCAGTGTCCTTAGTTCTGCACGGGCCACTGCCTGTTTCCACTGAGGACCAGTGATCCCTTCTGACCACAGCTGAGCCTGGTTCACTTCCAGCTCCATCTTCCCAGGAGTAACCAAATGATGGGATAAGTAACATCGTATTAAACAATATTAGTTGACCTATGCTGTCAATGCTTGTTATAAAAATCCCATGTATGAATAACATAACTGTGTTTAAGGGAAGAAGAAAACGAACCTAAGTAACTTTGGAGAACAGTATGCAGACTATAGAATTCTAGGTTTAAAGGCAAAAAAAAAACAACTATGAACAGACACTGTACTGCAGTTAGTGATTTCTTTTTAATCACAGAGATGTGGGTTCACAATCCTGAAACCCCTTTATGTGTATTCTAGGACTGAACAAACATGTTGCTTACTGTGGATAATGAAAGACATGGTGCTCACTGTCAGAGAAAGACTGCAATGAGATGAGCTCTGAGGCGCCAGGTTGCAACGGCGGGGATGCTGCAAACCCCCAGTTCTTATAGGCAGGTACAGATATAGGTACTTACACACGTGAATCTTTAAGCTCTGCCGGCTGGGGAGCTACAGGCAATTGCACCACAGACCAGTGAGTGTACCCAGCGACCAGATCTGTTTCCAGACACTGTTCTCCAATCAAAGAAACCAAAGCTCCCTTCAGTTCAGTCGCTCAGTCATGTCCGACTCTTTGTGACCCGATGGACTGCAGTATGCCAGGCTTCCCTGTCCATCACCAAGTCCTGGAGTTTACTCAAACTCATGTCCATTGAGTCGGTGATGCCATCCAACCATCTCATCCTCTGTCGTCCCCNAAACTCATGTCCATTGAGTCGGTGATGCCATCCAACCATCTCATCCTCTGTCGTCCCCTTCTCCTCCCGCCTTCAATCTTTCCCAGCATCAGAGTCTTTTCTAAAAAGTCGGTTCTTCACATCAGGTGGCCAAAATATTGGGGTTTCAGCTTCAGCATCAGTCGTTCCAATGAATATTTAGGACTGATTTCCTTTAGGATTGACTGGTTTTATCTCCTTGTAGTCCAAGGGACTCTTAAGAGTCTTCTCCAACACCACAGTTCAAAAGCTCCCTTGGAGAAATAATAATAATTCCAGGGTTGAGGCACGGAGAGTAGATTCTCCTAGGATATCTTTCAGTGCCAGAAAGTAACAAGGAAGTGTTCAGAAATTGATGGGAGCGTTTCAAAAGCACTCAGCTCGAAAGAGCTAACAACGGCTGTATCTGGGACAATCTCAGCAACTACAGAAATAATGATAATAATGACTACGACCCATAGGGTAAAATTAATATCCATGACTCCACACCAATCTAATAATTGAATAGCTAAGTAAATAAGAGAATAGCTGTTTGACAAAGTACAATTTCAATAAATAAATGGAGCAGGAAGAATGGAAACAGAAAGTCACCACTTGGGAAACACCACAGCAATGACACACATAGCAAAGTCTACCGTGTCCCCTAAAATTTCTGGTGAGAACATATGAGAGACAGGACATGCGCGCAGTCTCAAGGTTTCTTCCCACAAATAATCTCGCAGCCACCACTCAACAGCAAGCAGAATTAACACCAGCAGCAAGGAGGGTGCGCCTCATGTGGTGTCCTTCTCACCCAAAGGAGAAAGCATCAGAGAACTCAAACTGAGAGACAAGCTACACTGTAACTGTTCTGCACTCTAAGAAGCCAAGGTCACATGCAAAGACAGGACTGTCAGAGAGCACAGGGCAGCAGCAAGGAGGGAGCCTGCAGCAGAGACGAGACAGGAGCAGAAACACTGGCGCAGTGCCAGTAAGGTCTCCGCTGTTGTTTGTTCTTCAGCTGTTCAGTTGTGTGCGCCTCTGCGATCCTGCAAACTGCAGCACGCCAGGCTTCCCTGTCCTTCACCATGTCCTGGGGTTTGCTCAGATTCATGTCCACTGAGTTGGCTACATTATCTAACCATCTTATCCTCTGTCTCCCCCTTCTCCTTTTGCCTTCCATCTTTCTCAGCATGAGGGTCTTTTCCAATAAGGTCTTGAGCTGATCGTTTATACTGATGTTGACTTCCTGGTTCTGATCATCGTACTACAGTCATGTGGAAAGTGAACACAAAGGGAAGAGGCTGGGTGAAGGGTTTAAAAACTGCACTTGCAACTTGTCTGTACATCCAAACTAAACTAAAAACTACGTCAAAATCATGAAACAGAGCCTGAGGAACCGTCACAGAGTGGAGGAGACTAAGAGCACGGGGTGGTGAAAGGCTCCGTGTCACGGTGACGGCTTCCCTGGTGGCTCAGGCAGTGAAGAATTCACCTGCAATGCGGGAGGCCCAGGTTCAACTCCTGAGTTGGGAAAAGCCCCTGGAGATGGGAACGGCTTTCCACTCAGGATTCTTGCCTGGAGAATCCCATGGACAGAGAAGCCTGGTGGGCTACAGTCCCTGGAGTCACAAAGAGTCAGACACAACTGAGTGACTTATGGGTGCACATGTGTGTTTAAACTTAATCAAGTATGGCCTTTGAATACAGGCGGTTGGTGTGTTAATTATACAACTGTAAGAAAAGGATAACATTGCAAGAGGAAATCACAAAAATTGGCAACTAAGAAATGAATCCAAAATAAGTGAAAAACCTTATGTAAAAAATTCCCTATTTCAGAAATGCTCATGATTATTTTACACAAAACTCCTTTTTCTTTTCCTTGCTAAAACGAAGAGGAGCATGAAACAGTTTCCACAGGACAAGCGTGAACCCTCACTCGCCTCCCGGCTGGCCCTTCTCAGTGCTTTCTATTACCGGGGACGTTTACTGAAAAAGCGGCATATGACGAGAACGCCAGCTCTCCTAAACAAAATGCTGCAACAAGTTCCCGAGCCAAGAAAAAACATACCTTCAGACAAGTGTTTCAAGTTCTCTTTCATAATAAACTAGCTGGAGTCACATATGCATCTAGAGTCATGTAGGGCTTCTGAGGGCGTCCCTGGTGGCTCAGAGGTTAAAGCGCCTGCCTGTAATGCGGGGGACCTGGGTTCGATCCCTGGGTCAGGAACATTCCCTGGAGAAGGAAATGGCAACCCACTCCAGTATTCTTGCCTGGAGAATCCCATGGGCAGAGGAGCCTGGTGGGCTACAGTCCATGGGGTCGCAAAGAGTCGGACACGACTGAGCAACTTCACTTTTCAAGGCTTCCAAAGCAGCGGAAATAATGGCAGCTTCTTCCCGAGTCATAGGAAGACTGTCTCCAATCAAAAAAGTTATGTGAGAACTGAAGAAAAGAAAAAAAATTTGCTCCGTAATGCCAAATATCAAGTTTCTCAGAATGACTTAATTTATTCAACTAGAGTCAGACATATAATTTAAATAACCCATGTTTGTTGACTGACTGCTATATAAAATTTGAAAGTTAAACTGAATAGGACAAATGAAATATTTAAAGTTATTCTATCTTAGATTAAAAAAAAAATAACAGATTTAAACTAATACCATTCTTCAAAACACTCATTTTTGGGGGTTACCCATTTATCTGACATACCTGGGGAAATGGAAGAATGCTTCTCCAGGATGCAGATTCAAAGTTTGTTTTAAAACCATTCTTAAACAGCTAACCCTTTGGTTTACATTATAGTGCTTATTTTTAGGGATCAAATGTGACTCTTTTTGAGGGGGTAGGGTGCCACGCAGCATGCAGGATCCTAGGTCCTCCACCAGGGATTGGACCCCGACCCCTGGAAGCGAAAGCCTTTAGTCCCAGCCACCGGACCGCCAGGAATCCTCAAATATGACATTTCTCAGTATGACGACGTATTTTGGTCTCTTGATTTGTCTCTAAATGGAGCTTGGTTCTTTCCAAAAATTAAACCTAACATCAAGATTGTGCCAATACTGAGAATACTTCAAGGAATATGACACGAGTCCTTTAGGTCTCAAAGGAAAAACACTAAAAATATTTTGAGAGATGGCACCAAGTTGGAATAAATGCTTCCCAAGGTGACTATTTTATTAAAGAGGACCCTCATTTTTCTTTGTTTTTTTTTTTTTTCCAGGCAGGAAAACCTTTTATTTTAAACCACAAATAATCAGCAGGTGGCCACAACTATCCATGTTTCATTAAAATCACATAAAACCTAGGTACAAAAGCACCACTGATTATTGCTCTAGAAAAACGGCATGAAAAAATCCAAATACGCACAGTAAAAGCACCACAGTATGCACAGGACTAAATTTTTAAAGCAAGTGCATGGAATGCTGAATCAATTTTACAGACAGCTTCCAATATTAAACCGGTATTTATTTTACTCAAGGATGATGGAAATTTCCAAAAAGCACGACTATGAGAAGGTAAAATGTCCATCCTTATATATTTTTGTATGCCAACTAGTAGAGTCCTAAAAAATTAGCATTTACAAAATACTCGGTAAAAATAACTTTTAAAAGTTGTCCCAAGAGGTACATAAAATCAACCCCAATTTTCATGACCATTCATTCTCCCTCGTTAGCTACAGATTCAGTTTTCTGTGCCTCTTCAGCTTGAGTGTCACCATTTTCAGCCGGTGCTGCGGTACCTTCCTTCCCAGCTTCCTGCTTCTCCTCCTTCTTCCCTTTAACACCTTTGCTAACCTTTGTTGCTGGTTCTTTCTTAGCAGATGTTTTTCTTGGTTTAGGTTCAGGTTTGGGGGGAGCAGGTTTCGCTGACAACCTGGCAGACCGTCTGGTGGGCTCCTGTTTAGTTACTTTGGATCCATCCTTGCCCTCTGTATTTTCTGGAGACTTTCTCTTCGGCATGACTGTATTCGTGCAGCTGAAAAGTAAAGCAACGGGCTGGAACTGCTGGCACCGCCGCTGGATGCTGCCGCCGCCGCAGCTGCTCATGCGCAGGTCTTGGCGTAGCCCGGCCTCCTGGTTTTTTTTTTTATGTTTTTAACTTTTAAAAAAATTTATTTACTTCTATTTGGGGGATAATTGCTTTACAATATTGTGTTGGTTTCTGCCATACATCAGCATGAACCAGCCATAAGCATCCACACGTCTTCTCCCTCTTGAACCTCCCTCCCACCCCATCCCACCGTTGTAGGCTGTCACAGGGCACCAGTCTGAGCTTCCTGCATCACACATCAAACTCCCGCTGGCTATCTGTTTTACATATGGTAGTGTGTATGTTTCCATGCTCCTCTCTCCATTCAACCCACCCTCTCCTTCCGCTTCTGTGTCCACTAGGAGAACCCTCATTTTGATGTGCCAATATTACTTTTAGTAAAGTCAAAGTCACTTAGTTGTGTCTGACTCTTTGCAACCCCAAGAATTCTCCAGGCCAGAATACTGGGGTGGGTAGCCGTTGCCTTCTCCAGGGGATCTTCCCAAACCAGGGATCGAACCCGTATCTCTGGCACTGCAGGCGGATTCTTTACCAGCTGAGCCACCAAGGAAACCCAAGGAAGAAGTTTACTTCTAGTAAACTGGTTTCTAAAACACTCACTTCCATATGGTCATATTTCCTACACTGTGCCTTTTGCTCAACACATATGACAGATGTTGAAACAGAACTAATCTTGGGAGATGCTGGCGGCAGCAGGCACGTGTTCTGGCCACTCTCTGGGTGGGCATATATCTGTTCCCTTTGGAGATCCAGTTTCCTCTATTTTAGACCACCTATTTCCAGTGGCTACAGAGAGAAGAGGAGGCGCTGCTGCCCCAGCCAGGCCGATCAATACATTTCACCCACTGCTATGGTGACTGGGCCCCGAGATGTATGTGACCAGGTCTGACAGGAAGATCAACTCTGGTACTTCTGCAGAAAGGAGAGGCTGTCTTCCCACTGCGGCTGCCGAGTCGACAGAAGTCAGCCTGCATGTGTGGCAGCCGCTGTGCATTAGACAGACAGACAGACACAAAGGGAGCAGGGCTGAAAGGCGAGGGGAAATGACTCTGGTGACACCTTCAGCGGCTCTAAGTCCAGAGTATTTCAAATCCTCCTGGACTTCAGTTACACAGGCCAATGTAATTTCTTTTTTGCCTAAGTTAGTGTGAGGTGGACTTTCATCATCCATGATGGAAACTGTCCTAATACACGGGGTTATTTACCTTTGATAAGCAATTAAATCATCAGTTTTGTGTTAAGTCAACAAAATTAATATTTAAAAATATCAAGTACATCTTTATCTTCTGAAAGTAAACTCCTGAATTATGAAAAACACAGGGAGTACTGTGTTCTGTCAAGCAAAGAACATGGCAACGGCAGTGGAAAAATTATTACACTGCCTCTTCCCTTAAAAACCAGAGGTTTTAAGGTGGTTATGATCTCAAGTTCACTTCATAGGTGTCCCCATAATTGAAAATTGGGTTTTTAATTTAAAGTCAACTTCCCTGGTGGTTCAGTGGCTAAGACTTCCCACTTCCAATGCAGGGGCCATGGGTTGGATCCCTGGTCAGGGATCACATGTCATAACTAAGACCCAGCACAGTCAAATAAATAAATAACCTAAAATAATAAAATAAAATCAATAGACAGCTTTCCCTAATCCAAATGACCTAAAATAACAGAGTTTCTCCAAACTGCCAGTGTCTCAAGGCAGACATGGTTTTGGTTTTACTGTCACAGGAATGCTATGCTTTGGTCAAACAGCCAAATTTCCTCCCAAATATATCCTTTGGGTCTCTGGGCTACCAAGGGAAGGAATAGGAAAGAACTTTTCTCTTTTCCTGGGCCTCATGGATAGACTTCTATTACAAGCTTGACGAGCTATTTATATAGCACAGTGATGTATGCAGCTGCATAAAGAAACTGGATTACTATCTTAGAGGCACACAGGAAGAGAGCCACTGTCTGCCCAGTCGCACTTACAGATGGACAAAGGTGTACACACATCAACCTGCAGGTTCCAGTTCGGAGGCCAGACGACTTGTCCAATCGTCTGACCAAAAACCCAGATCACAGAGGGGAAGTGGAGGGCGGGAAGCCTTATGAGTCAATTTTACAAACAGATCCTTGCACAATTACCGGGAAATTCGAGTGCAGGAACAGTTGCTAATTCTCCCAAAGCTGATACAGTCTGAAAGCACACAAGATTACCATTACCAGAAAGTAAGAAAAAATTCCAGGGACGCTCGACTGTGGCTAAACACGCCTGCAGTGGAACGTTTCCTAGTCCCTCAGGACATCACCGCTTCTTGTGGTTTCTAAATGGGGACTCTGAACAGAGGCCGGGCCACACAAGCCCCGCCACCCTGGTCCTCCAGTCTCTTTCCAAATAATATAAGTTCAATTAAGACAGGGAAATTTCTATTTTAAAGAGTAAGATCAGCTGTGTGATTAGTCAAAATCTGAAAAAAAAGATGTCTGCAACTTAAGACACAGGTCCTCTGACATGTACTTCTGTAGATCTTTCACTGGGGTTGAAAATCCTGACAGAAGCTCCTTATGCTGTTTAGGGCGACAACACGGGACAGGAGTAGAAAGAAAATCACTACTATGTACCTGCGAAGCTTGCTCTTAGCTCAGCTTTTTCTAACATGACTGACATCAATCAGATACACTAACAGACTTCCTAAGTGCTCCCTAACCTGAAGGGAAAAGCATGTTAAAAAAAAAAAGGAAAAGGAAAACCAACACCTTCTTTTTCAAAGAAATCATCCCTAAAATAATAAAAGCCTGTGGATTTTCACTTCAGTCAGATTTGTGAAAAAGTCCTGGTATTTACAACAAGACTTTACAGCTTTTCAAAAACAAATGTAGAACTTCGGCGTTAATTAATTTCATTTAAACAAATATATTCCTGAGCACACCAACCTATTCTATCCAGTTGGTCTGTAGGCATCACACTAAATATTTTCAGGTGCTGTATAAGGTAAAGGCACTTTTCTAAATACACCTAATTTCCCCATTTATAACTCTAGTTTGGGTTTGGATTTTCTAAGCTGCAACACACAGGATTATTAAAATGATTTTCACTTCTTTCCCCCCAAGGCTTCCTGTAGGAGGGCTTTGTGGATTTAGAAGCAAACTCAAACACAGTATGAAGGGTGGACTTCCCACAAGCAGATAGGTTCTCAAAACAGAAGCACGCAGAGGTCCCGGGAGCTCACGGTAAGGGCTGACCCTGCTGCAGCCCGCCTCCCAGAGGACAGACCACACGCGACCTGCACTCACCACCTTCTCCTTGGACCTCAGGACCCCCAGCTTCCCGAAGCGCACGTGGAAGGGTGAGCACTGGTAGGAGCCATCCTGCTGTCGCACAACCACTACGTCGATGCAGCCGGACAGCGTGGCCTGGTTGATGCCCTTGTAGAGCTCCTTCACTGTGACGATCACCTGTCCCGCCAGCTGCCCCACATAATTCATGGTTTGAGACTAAAAGAGACAGAACAGATTGGATGAGATGTTAACACTGAGTTTGTGGATCTAATGACAACGGCAGAGGAAAAACTGCAGTGACTACACGGCCCACGTGTCCCCCAGACTATTATCAGCCCTGCGATGCTCGCCCCGCCGCGTCACGCTGACGTGGTTGCTACACACGTCCACGCATGGGCAGCCCCAGACCGTCCGCTGTGGAACTGAGAGGCGGCCCAGCTGGGCATGCAGAAGTCCCCTTTCCTCTTTCAGCATCTCGGATCAAGCCTGCTACCACGAGGTGCTTCCCCCCAAAGTACAGGACCTGCAGGAACCACCAAAGAACCCCGACACCACTCAGCCCTCCTGCCCGAGACAGCTGGGTCCTGCATGAAATGCATCCACTGAGGAAGAAGCCACGCGGAAGAGTGAGTGAAGATCACCCTCAAGAGGAAGCTCCTGTCGAGAACTGTGTGAGTGAGAGATCGCTTTTCTACAGTTAAGACTAAGGTTCAGAGACACGCTAGCTTAAACAACTGGCGAGCAAGGCTGGGCTGAACCGATGAACCGATTTATAACAAACCCTTCAGAGCTTCCGCACAGCTCCATAGAACACACGCTCACGTTCCACAAAGTTCAAAGCACAGAAAAGGGGTTTAATTCTGTTTCTTAACGACAATTCACTATTTAAATCACGACCAGCAGACTGCAGAGTGTCCTCCAGGAAGGGTCAAAAAGGCGAGGGTGCCTGACCAGGGCGCAGGGCAGCCGCTTCATCTGACCACAGGATGGGGGCTCATGTCCCCAGCTCTGCCGTTAGCCCCTCTTTAGTGCTAAGGTTGTCAGATTTCATTTCCGGTGACCCACACAACCACAGTTCATCCATCAGACACTGGCTCTCCTAGCAGAGTGTCGAAGCACAACCGAGGAAAAGACCTTCCTGAGGAGGGGAACACAACCCTGACAAGAGACCCTCCCTGCCTCAACTTTCACAGAAGCAGAGACCCGACGGGCTCTTCTGCAGGGGGTTCAACATCAGCACAGCTGCCTAAACCTGGATCAAACGCTTTGATCTTGAGATCAAAGTTACAGGCTCAGAGAAGTTCCCAGACAGCACATTCTAGCTGTGAAGATGAAGAAGAAGAAGAAGAAGCCGCTCAGTCGTGTCTGACTCTTTGCAACCCCATGGACTGTAGCCTACCAGGCTCCTCAGTCCATGGAATTTTCCAGGCAAGAGTACTGGAGTGGGTTGCCATTGCCTTCTCCAGGGGATCTTCCCCAACCAGGGATCGAACCCGGGTCTCCTGCATTGCAGGCAGACGCTTTACCGTCTGAGCTGTAGGAAAGTCCAAAGCTGAACTGGAAGAACACACGCCCTGCCTGCACAAGCCCAGGGCCCCCAGTGCCCTTGCCGCAGAGATGCCCACCACGCTTCACAGGAGAGCCGGCGACTGGACCCCACTCAAACGCTCCTTCCTGCTCTCGTGCACAGCTATCAAGGCCTAGTTCCACATCATGGAGCCAAGCCACAATAGCATCACCTGGAAAATGCCCTGAGTATTTTGAAGCCAGTGCCAGCAAGGCC